TTCTAAATTATCTCGTGAAAATAAATTCAACGTCCACTTCATGTAACAATAACAATTTAGTTTTATTTTCTCCTTAACGTTTTTTTTTAATTATTACAGGCTTGTACACTTTGTAACTTGTTGTAGGCCTACGTTTACAGCTACGCTATCTGCACTACACTAAGGTAAAAATCAACTTACTTGGACAAAGTAACTCAATTTGCACGATACATATCACAAATTCAAAGAAAACGTAAACACACTGACTGATTCACCCTACTGAGTAGAAAGCAACTCTTTATCTTCTTGATGTTCCACTGTTTCACTGCAAGCTTACTTAGCCAATTGATTGACTCGCCAGTATTTATAACCTAATCCTTGTTTGTCATGAGGGGATTTCTGCACTATTCTTGAGCCACTGAATAATTGAGTTTAAACTCGCACCTCTTGCCCGAGCATTTTTCACATGAGTGTTGGACAACATATTTTCCTGAAATCACTTGAGAATGCCACATCGTGGATAACACTTTGCTATACTTTAGATTGGTAGTCATTTTATCCTGTGTTTCACACAGTGTTTACACTCTTTATTAACACGTGGTCTCAGAGATAGTGTGTCAGTATTTCCTTGGTTTGGTTCTGTCTAGGGTGATAAAAAAATTAAAATTGTACTCCTAGGGTTCTTGAAGCCATCTTGCTAGTTGGCCTTCTGGGTTACGAAAATTTACCAGTCATTTCAATGCTGCATGACCTGTTTGGAGTGTAAACTATGTTCTATATAGATAATGATGGAAATGACTCAGGGAATGCAACAATACGTAGTAGATCTTCTTTTAAAGGTGTTGAATACCTCTTTTCTGTAGTAGTCATTGCCTTGCTATAGTAGAAAATACATTCTTTTTCGTGTTCTTCTGACAAAATTGTTCACGATGCAAAAATCACTAGCATCTATATCTAAAATGAGTGGGTCTTTCAGAGTTCAGCCTGCCGATATAGAAGTAGTGGTCAATTCCTTCTTCAGTTTGTTAAATGTTTATTCACAATCAGTAGTTCAATAGAAATTATTTGTCTTTTCAAATAAATTGTGCAAAGGACGGGCTGATACAAAACAACGATAGTAAGAGCACAGTCTAGAAAATTCTCTTATCTCATGCAAGTTGTTTGGTGTAGGCCAACTCTGGACAGTGTTAGTCTGCCAGCTATGTGTCTCAGAAAAATCACCTGCTGATGAAATAATTCTCACTTCTTGGGATTCAGCTTAAGATTATCTTTCCTTGACAATTCTATAACCTTCCTTAGCCATTCATAAGCATTACCAAAGGTCTTCCCATGTGAGATTATCTCATCAAGTGGATGACTACAATGTTCCAGCGTAGTTCAGACAAAGCAGTCAATTATTTGTTGGAATGTAGCAGGAGAATTACATAATCCAAATGGTAACACGACAAATTACCACAATCCCTCTTTTGTGCTAAAAGCAGTCTTCTCTCTTCTTGCTTTGTCAACTTTCACTTGCTAATATCCACTCTTAAGATCCAATGTTGAAAACTATTTTGATCCAAATAGACTACCAAAGGTAGAGTAAATTTGCGGCAGTTGGTAGGCATTCTTTGTAACTTCATTCATCTTGTGGTGGTCCATGCATAAACTTGTAGATCCATCCTTTTTTTTTCACGAGTACAATAGATGATTCCCATGGACTATAATTGTTCCTTCATGGCTTATATTCTCTTTGAAAGCCTCAGCTTATTTTGCAAGTGGAAGTAGTAACCTGGCTAAATGACATATTGGGGCTGTATATCCAGTATCAATATTTTACTTTTTTGGCCTAAATCATGAGATCCATTGGAGATGTTTTGCTATTCCATGAGCAAGTTATGTAACCACTAGAACTGATCAGTTGTAAGACCTTCATAGCTCTATTCATACGACTCTTGTAAGTGGTAGACTGTCCTTGTGTAAGGGTTTGTCAACGGACTTCCTACACTGTTCCTCAAAAGTGACTACTTCCAATGTTCTTTGATGTGAAAGTACTACCTGTACGGCCTCACATCATGCAAGATCCCATCCAAATTTGATTAACTGTATGGTTTGTTGTGTTCATAGACCTAATGATGACATCTTTATTCTTCAGGTCCACAATAGCTCTTCCAGCCCTTAAGCCATCAGGACATTGTGGAGTGTTTGATCCTATTACAGTGCAGTCACTAGATATAATTTTATTTTTAACAAGTCCTGGTACGAGTGCTGAACTTCTCAGTAGTATAATAACTGCTCTCCTTGTTGTCATGGTATGTCCAATCTCTAGTGTAGTAATTTCCATATAGTGCATAGGAATTTTCTGGCCACAGACTCTGAAGTTATTTTGAAGATAACCTAACCTCAGATCCATCTCTCTGCATAAAGTCAGTTCCCAGTGTGTACTCTTCTTTGATGCCAATTACTCATGCATCATGAGACATGCAGAAGTTTCTTATAGCATCACTCCCCCGTTTTCCTTTCATTACCAAATAGAGTCCAACTATTGTAGCTGTAGAATCATTGTCAATCAAAAGATAAAAAGGCTTCTTGTCAATAAATCTGTGAGCTGGTTTCTATAAAAGATTGAGTATTCTTTGCTGAACTTTTCCCCTTAAGTCTAGCTAATTTCTGTTTTCCAATGTCTGGTTAGCCCTTTGTTGTTGTTTTTATATGGTTGGACATGAAGACTCATCCTTGGGTATACTTGGTGTCTTAACAGTAGTTGATTCCTCACAATCTCAGTTGTAATGGCCACGTTTCACATATCTATAACAATTCCCTCTTTCTGGTATCCTTTGGGAGGAGTTTTTATTTCCTATAAGCTTTTGTCAGCAATTCTTGGCAATATGTTCTTTCAATTTACACTTGAAGCACATATTGCCTAGAGGTTTATTCCCTCCATTATGTTCTCTACCAATCCTTTTAGATCTTTTAAACCATCGTTAGTGTGAGTTGATGTTCTAATATTACTCGTTCTGACGATCCCATGGCTTTGAGATGGTGTCTTTAGTTGTTTATCTGTAACCTTAATAGATTCTAGTTCTATCGCCAACTGTAGAACTTCCTTTAAGGATGTACACCTACTTTGCTTCAGCATAATTCTTATATTCTCGTCTGTTATGGCGTTTATAAATTGGTCACGTGCCAATGAATCAATTTTTTCACGGGGATCGTTTAGGTAAGATAACTGGACATACCTTTACAAATCTTCCTTAAGATTGGCTAATGTATCTTCGTTCTTTGTACCCTATTCTAGAACTTTGCTTTGAATTATTCTTTCTAGTGTGACATTCCAAAGCTGTTAAATAAGGTAGGTATTAATGTTAATAGATGTTACTGCTCTCAGCTGGAAGGTTGTTATGAAAGTTGGTTCTCTTAAATAGGCAGCAAGATGGGTGACTTGTTCTTTACTATTCCACCAGTTTAGTCTGAAAATTATTTCAAACTGAGCCTGGTATGACTCCCACGGTACCTTCTCATCACAGGCCATTGGTATCTCTTATGTCCAATGTTGAACAGGCCAACAAAATTCTGGATTCATGGCTGGAGTAGTCCAGGAAGGTCCTTCAGTAACAGGTGGCACAGCAGCATTGGTAGTAGTAGTAGTAGTAGTAGTAAAGGTTTAAACCAAGTAATTCCTCGTATTTCATATTTTGTAGCAGATAATATCCCAGAGTAGTACTCCTCAGCTAATGCAGAAAGAGGTGTGGCTGGTTCAATCTTCACTTTTAATAATTCATTTTCAAGATGTTTTATTTTGTTACTGATATTTTTCCTACTTCAATAATGCTCTTTTCTACCTCGTTAATGTCTTTCTTTACTTCAATTTTGACATTTTCAATGTCCTTTCGTACTTCGTTTCTGACTTCATTGATGTCCTTTTGCACTTCTTCCATCTTGTCATTACAGCTTTTACACACTTCTTCAATCTTACTGTTGTACTCTCTCTTTTGTCCTCTATAGCTTAATCGATCATGTCTTCCATCAGATTTATTTTTGATTTTAATTATTTTTCAAATAATAAGTCTCTCTTTTTTTAACTCCTCCATTAAATTTATGTCATGTTCTACTATTCTGCTATCGTTTTATTCTTCTATCTTTTTTGTTCTTGGTCCTCTTTTCATTTTCTGTAAATTTCTTCCTGATCTTCTTTTAAATTCATCATCTTAAGTAATGCTTCACTCTGATTCTTTGACTTCGTGGCCTCATCTTAACCAGCTAAAGTTTTTGATCAGTTCTATTTTATTTTCACTAAAGTAATCCCACTTTTGCGCCATGGTTGTAACATTGTTTTTTCGTTTACGAATTTCTTTAAAGTATCTGGTGAAAATAAATTCAAAGTTCATGTAACAATAGATAATTAGTTTTATTTCATCCTTAACGTTTCTTTAAAAGCTTGTACACTTGGTAACTTGTTGTAAGCATACGTTCAGAGCCAAGCTACCTGCACTATAGTCTGGTAAAAATCAACTTATTTGTACAATGTAACTCAATATGCATGATAGCTAAACACAGACTCAAAGAAAACGTATACTCACTGACTAATTCACTCTAACAGCCAGAAAACGACTCTCTATCTTATTGATGTTTCACTGCAAGTTTACTTAGTCAATTGACTGGCTCATCCCTATTTATAATTTAATCCTTGTTATTTCGCAAAGCCTCTCGTTCATTACTATTTACGAGTATTTTAGGACTAGCTTGATAGTAAAGTAATGCGTCTTCTAGCGAACATCTAACTTACAACATAAAAAAATATATAGCTTATAACATTATGTACAGATACAATGCTACGTGTGAACTAGCACGTGATATTTTAAGTGATACTATTGTACACTTCATGCTAAAGGTATTTCTGGATCTCCCGGCAACTAATTTAACACTATTGTTATAGTGTGTGTAATATAGCGGTAATATTTCAGAGTCGATTAATTTTTGTGTTATGGTGCCAAGTGGATTTATGGGCAAACTGTAAAATATTATTAAGGATCATTCATTACCTGCCCAACATCTTTGACGATATCGAACCTTCCTCTTTCTGACCAACTTACTAGGGCTATCATCCTTGGCTCGGCTGTTTTTGCTTGCGCTAGATGGTGGTGCGCTGTTGAAGTGAGAGTTGACATGCCTTTCTAAGGCACTCTGAGAAGTAAACCTTTGTCCGCAGTCGTCAACGATACATTTGAAAGGCTTGTTTCCTCCATGAGTTAACATGTGTCTGTAGAGCCAGCTAAGAGAGCATGATGGCCGATTGTACACCTGAAATACATGATTGAAGTTACATGTATATAAATATAGATCCGGGAAACTCAATAGTTCATGGTATGATCATTACATCAATGCAAAAACAAACAAAAAACATGTACAGAATATGTTTATTTGTTGTTTTTTTGGGGGGGGGGATTAGCGAATTTTACAATACTTAAAGGTTACAGAATAATACAGGTTAAGTTTTCTGGATATTCTTGATAGAAGAGCTGGGGCCATGATCAAATATTGGCCAATATCACCATACAGAGTCTTTCTAGATATTTCCTTGATTAATAGCCCAAAAAGTAGAATATCAATTATTTAGTAAATCATACTTAGTAAAAAAAAAAGAGGATTTAACTTAATAATTACACTTTGAAGACTGTATAGGCTACTAACCATGAAAATAATTGATATCCGATAGCCACAATACTGTCAATATTACCGTAAGTATTCCATTTCATTTTATCATCATCACCGGTATATTGTCTCTTATTTAAGACTAATGTATATAAACATGTTGTATAAATTATAATAATACTGAGTGCAGTGAAACATGTGAACCTTTTTAGTTAAAAAGGAAAGATGCATTTTTACCATAATTTACGGATTTTTTCTTACCTAAAATCATACAACCAGTGTTTACTATGGTAGGGAAACCTTTTTCAGAACAAGTATAGCTAGGTAAACTCACAAATAACAGCAGGTTCGATCAGAAAGTAAGGGGGAAATTCTATACTAGAAAACTTGACTGAGTTCCTTTAACCCTTAGAAGCACGAGGTGGGTTATAAATGACCACGAACCCACATTATTGGTTTAAAATTTATTATTGGATTTTTTTGGCTAAACTTAATTCTTAATTGAATATTCTTGGTGAATACACTACATTAACTTTACCTAACGATAAAAGAAAAAAAACATTTATTGTACAGTAAATTTGAATAAAATGTCATAGTTCACTAGCGACCCAGGTCATGCATATGGTAAAATTAGTGTTAATTTCATCTGAAAAGATGTGGCAAAGAAAAGTATTCTGAAAAACACACTAAGAACACATCACAGAACAATGCTACTACTTCCAAACGCAAAAGACGTTTGATGAGTCCTACCTCTAAAGACATGAGAACTAGCATATCATGTGCAAGTTGCAACAGACCTATTTGATCTGCACACACACACACAAACACACAAAATGAAAACAAGTGCTTTTGATAACTGCAATTTATAGCTATCATGCACAAGGAACTGCAATGCATGTTCGCTAATGGTAGTATTTCTGGATATTTTTGTTGTTGATCTGTTCTGTTAGATTTAATAAAAACATGGTCTGAATCTTTTTTCACTTATGCATTAACACAATTAAATTACTTCGTGCATTTAGAGGTTGATAAAACGAAAAAAAAAAAAAACAAGCGTGTGTGCCTAAGCAGACGAAATGACAGTTCTTTCCATTAAGCTATGTTTAGCTCCACAGCTTCCTATCCCTCACTATTAATCTCCATAGAACTAAAACACATTATTCCTGAATGAAGTTGCGCTTAACGATCTTCTATTAGAAACTGGGTAAAGAAAGCAGGCCTGAATTCAATAAGTAACCTCGTTCTCTTTTTGACAGCATCACCTCAATACCTTTGTTCCCTCACAGCATTGGTCCGCTGTTACATTCAATCAACATCATAATTGGTCAGCAAAGGATATTACGGTGCCAATTCTTTTAAACTAGATATTATATATTACTGAAATATCCTCTGAGGCAGAAGAGACATCATATACACTATTCTACTAAAAGTCATGGGACATACCTCTGATTGCAGGACAATGGATGTGATGACTAAATATGCAAATAGTTAGGCCAATGAGGGTGATCAGCGGTTCGCTCGGAAGTCATTTCAAACTTGTACGCTGAACGATAAGTATTCGAAAAGAGCTAACAGAGTGGAAGGATAGTTGGATGTCATTTGGGGAAAATGTCTCTACTTGTTATTGCACAACAATTAAATATACTCAAGTCGACAGTTGGCAACGTGCTGAAGAAATGAAAGTCCACAGGTGCCAATGAGTACAAGAAATGACCAGGTAGGCATAAAATAGTGACTGACAGGAGCCTACGCACACTGAGAAGGCTGGTTACCTCATCTCGCCATCAGACTCTAGAGAATCTGTGTTTGGAGATATAGGACAGCCACAGGCAATCCTATAAGTGTTTCCACCAGACGTCGAGAGTTGCATGTCATGAATTTACATGGAAGAGCTGCAGTCCACAAGCCCTTGATAACAAAAACAAATGCACACCATCGATTGGCATGGGGCAAGACACATCGAACTTGGACCGTGGATCAATGGAAATTGGTCCTGTGGAGCAACGAGTGACCATACACACTCTTCCAGTCTGATGAACATGTTTGGGTATGGAGGATGCCTGGAGAACTCTTATTACCTGAGTGTGTTGTCCCAACAGTGAAGTTTAGAGGTGGTGGTATCATGGTCTGGGGGTGCTTCTCCTGTATGGACTAGGTCCACTGGTCGCAGTGCATGGATCCATGAATGCTGAGTTCTACACTGTGGAAATGTTTTGGTACAACCCTTACACCTTCCAACATGATAATGCTCCATGTCACAAAGCAATGATTGCAAATGCATGGTTTGGAGAGAATAACATCGGGACATTGCAGTGGCCAGCACAGAACCCTGACCTCAACCTGATAGAACATCTTTGGGATGAACAGGAATGCAGAATTAGGGTAAGGCCAAAATGGCCCTCTTCAGTAATGGAGCTTACTAATGCTTTAAAGGAGGAGTGGAGCACAATACCACCAGCTTTATACGAAAACTTAGTAAACAGTCTTCCACAATGCATTGAAACTGTATTAAGGCCAAATTAATAATTTCTTGGAATAAAGACATGTTTTATTCATAACTACACATGTCCCATGACTTTTGATAGGATAGTGTACTATAGAGAACAATGAAACAAAGCAGTTAGAACAAGGTAATCTTAATGACTCTCTGGACCACTTGTTCCCACCATTACAGCATGGAAACTAAACAAATGGAACACTCTAAATATTTCTATATCATTAAGCAGACAAAAAACATATGATATATGCCCACATATTGCTACCTTATCTTATACAAACCTACATAATCTGTTATACTATGACATGCAAATCTTATCTTAACCAAACCCAGAGATGTCACTAGATGCTTATAAGATTCGGGGCTTGGGTCATTAGGTGCAGAAATTTTTTACCATTTCAGTATGACATCAATCATGGTTTTCTATCCTGATTTGTCAAGATACTAACTGGATATTCGAGGCACTGTCAAATACAATCAGGGCAAGGAATCCATGTGCCAGTGTTTCTGACCAAACCTACATAACCAGTGTTATACTATAACATGAAAACATTATCTTACCCAAACCTACATAACCAGTGTTATACTGTAACATGAAAATCTTATCTTACCCAGACCTACATAACCAGTGTTATACTATGACATGAAAACCAACATAATCAATGTTTATTATGACCTAAAAAACTTTTATCTTACCCTGGTGAACATAACCAATAATCAGTGAACACCATAGTTTTACTTAGACATCTTTTTGAAAATAAGAAAAAGTTTTGATCAATAAAAACAATAGTGCAAGATAAATTTTTATGTGATACTTGAAAACCCTTAGGCAAACAGGAAAAAGTATCTTATGAGGTACAACTAATTCAATTCATATACAAGAAAATGTGAAATGTGGTTAACTCATTTACTGTAATTTAATTATTACCCTACAAAAAATTACTGAGACACTTTCTTCAACTTTCACCATACAATGAAATTTTGTATCTTGTACACTACTACAAATAAATGTTATTATTGGTATGTACAAATACTCAGAAATAAAAGCAAGGTCAGACATGGATCCTTTTCTGTTGACAGCAAACAACCAATGCAGTAGCCAATCTGGTGAAAAATGTGGAAGTTCTCTAGTTATATATTTTCAAATATGAAATATTCAATGAAAGAAAGCAACTGAACAAGGCATACATCTTTTAAAATATAAATCCTTACCAAACAGAAATAGAAAATCTGATTACAAAGTATTCAAAATTTTAGATAAGAAAAACATAGTAGTTTAGTAGCCAATACGACAGACATGTTTAAGATTTTGCTTAAGTGTAGCTGAATTACAAATGAAATATGAATAAAAGGAAAACACTTGAAGGATTCCTAAACGACATGAAAAATATCTCATCTTTCACCTCTTCATAGTGAAATAATGTTACATAAAATGTATTAATACACTGTACAAAACAATTAAAAAAAAAGGAACTTGTAATGTTACAGCTATGAGAAAGAAAACCATTCCCATAAAATAATGTCAATCATTCATTCACGGTTCACTGTTATGCAAATCAGACATTTCATGGTAAGTCCTGTGGAAGAAGTATTTTGTGATCAGAAATAAGCAATGGTGGAAAAACCATTTACATCAGCCACACGTTATGGGGATCACATCCAATGACCCTGTGTACTGTCTATTGTTGATTGAATTCACCCTGACTTTATATTAATAGATAATAATGCCAACCTACACCATGCTAAATTGGTCAAATATTGCTTGAGAAGATTGAAATGACTGAATGGTGTGAACTGCATGTTCATCAGATTTCAATTCAATCAAGCATGTATGGACTGCTATTGGAAGATGCACCACATCAAGTCAAGTGATTCCAGATGCTCTGAGAACAGCTTTTCAGAAAAATGATTAAAAACAATACCTCAAAACCTTATCAACACTCTGACTTTGAGCATGTAACATTGTTGTCAGGCTACTCTTTATTTTTCATGGCTGCAGTTATGCATACTGAAGTAAAATGTCATAAACCATACATATGTAAAGTGACCTCTAACAGCTGTTCATTTACCAATGGAAGTTGATTAACTGATGATTTCAGGTAACCATATGCCTAATTTACATAACAATGAACTGACAATATGAGTCACATTATTTTTAACATATATTTATGTGTAAGAATTATATCATTCAATTTTAATAGCAAATGTTAGATGGAAGTTAATATAGTATTGATGTTTTAAATTATAAAATGACTGAACATGAGCACAGATTGGAAAGGCTGAAAAAAAAATTAAATACCTTAACAGTTTTAAAGAATGATTATCTTTACTAAAGTTCATTTTATCAAATAAAATTTACAATGAGCTCATACTTAACAATACTTAATTTACTTCTGTTGTGTTTAACATGAATTTTACGTGAAATCAAGCCCAAAATATTTAAACATTTATTGTAGTAAACAATCTTTAAACTCAAAGTCAATAATGTTTAGTAGCAATATTTACATGACAAAGAAGCAAGCACTGATGCAACCTAGAAAATCATGGAAAAATAATGAAAAAATACTCTATGATTTTTATATCATTTTATTCAAGTTATTATACTTACTTTACACCCTTTCCACAAACATGTAAAATTTTCTCCATCTTTCTGAGTTTCAACATGGATGATACGGATGTGCTCCACAAGCTCACTTGGACAGTTTACTTCAGTAACACAATTTAACCATTTACATACTAATGATGATTGGGCTTTAGAACTGGCAGTTGATTGGCTAGAAATTGATGAAGAGGCAGTAGGGGATTGGCTACAGTGTAATGAGGCATTAATTGGTGATTGGCTAGAGAGTGATGAGGTACTGAGACCTTGAGTAGAAGATGAAGTGTGTGAATATACAGTATGATTATTTCTGACATCAGGTTCTTCCCATTCTTTAACAGATAATGTCTTGTAAGCAATGATGGCATTATTCGTAGTCTCACTACAAATTTTTGTCATAAAATGTCCCTTTGATGATACTTTGGAGGAATTAATTTTATCATTAGAATCTTTTTTTTCAACAGGACATTCAGTGAAATCAGACACCTTCTTAGGCTGTGGTTGATCACCTTGGAGGAGACTGTCCTTTTGATTAGTACTCAAGTATTCAGATGCATCCTCCTGAGAACAATTTGTGACTGATAAAACACCATAGTCAATACTGTCAAACTCCTCACTGCTATGCAGACAGTTGTCATTGGTTTCTTCTGACAGAGAAGCTGGCAGAGGAGGCATAGGCTGAGGTGTTCCTGGAGAAGCTGGACATTCTGGTGAGCATGGTTCTGAAACACTAGTTGTGTCACTGGATTGGCAGGAATCACTTCCACCACTACTTACTGCCACACTGACAGAAAAAAACAGATTTTTCAGTGAGAAAGATATTAGTATCAATAATTAGTAAAAATTATCCTTGTAAATTTCCTTTTTTTACTTAAATATCTTTCCTTTTAATACCGCATATAATTTTAATCAACACTACGTAAGAAAATAATAAAAAATAAAGCCACTAGAACTTATTTCTTATTAATGCATTCATAAGGTGTTATTTAATTACCATAGTTTTTTGTGTAAAAAGTAAATTAACTCAACAGTTTTCATAAACATATCAGTTCCTCTAAATTTAACTTAGTAAAAATACCATTAGGAGTAAGATTACAGTTGTGATTATGTCCTTTATTAGAAATTACATTTTACCATTACTCTTCTGTAATAGAAAATATTTATTCAAGATCAATTCATTTTTAATAATAAACTTAACACATATATATGCAAGAACACAAAAAAGTACCCACTCTGATTGTTAACATCATGCACTACAGCCTCACAGTGAAATTTACAATGTAATAAGCTTGTGCAAAAGACAATATACTGAATCATATGACACACATGTTCAAAAACTTTCCAAAGGTCCTCTACTGATTATGATTACTGGTTTCAAGGATCAGCATTTAAGTTCAAAGGCACAAAATCCATTGAAGCTGCATTAGGGAACTTGATAAATATGTGGTCAAATGGAATTGCTGTGATTCCAGTTTATTTTGATATTTTTTTCATTAAAACATGTGTGTGTGTGTGGATATTTTAGGTGTGAATGGAAGTTTGTAATCCCTCCTCAATTTCAAATCCTTGTGTAGTATCTTGTTAATGGTATCAGGAGATATTACTATCCCAGTGGTGGGATTCAGCCGGTTCGCACCGGTTCTTGCG